TAGTCACAGGAACATATACAAAATACAAAAAAACATAGAACCCATTATGTATTGAAATAGGATCGGATCTGGTATAGTGGTATACGTATATGTGCACCATCGACTTTCCTATAGGCATCGTGGCTTTCTCTTTCCAAGGCGTCGTCGCAGCTGGCTCTGTCCCCAGGCGTCGTCGCGCGTGGCCTCTCCCTGCAGCCGCTGGTGTCCCTGTCATCGGTGCCGCTGGATCACCGTGTCCTCACCGCTCTACGCGACCTTGTCGACAGCTAGACACTTAGCCGAAAGCCACGTCTACACGAGTACGTCGACGCGAGTGACAAGTCATCGACTTCACACATCAATCAGGTGCTCTAGTTCAATCTATGTTTGACAAATTGCTCCCAAGTTCCTTTGTTAATCTTGATCTATCATCTATGGCAATTATATATTTAATCAATATTCAATTATCTTTACCTCCAATTTTTATTCTTCAGAGTGCATACGTGTAGTTAGGGCATTGTGTTATGAGAGTTGAGACTATTTATTAGGGGATAATCATTATATCAAGTTCTCAACTAGGTAATTTATTGAATTTTGATTTTAATGTTGAATCTAGTACAACATATTTTTTCATGTTCCTTTTTTAAGATAATATTTGTAATTTGTTTGATAAAAATTCCCTTTCGATGCATTAAAGTTTATTTTTTATATTATATAGTAATATAGTAAAGGGCTCATTTTTTTAAGCTTCGCTCCAGGTCATCAGATTGACAGGACCGGGCCTGTATGCATGCATTATTGCAAGATCTTTCATCATTGCCTTTTCCCTATCTCTGATATAGTTTATAATGTCGTGATCCCTTGAATTAACGTGCTGCAGGAAAGCCTTGTGACATTTGGAAGATATAATTAATGGCACATGATGATGATTGGAGTTGGATGCTGTTGTCTCGGTCAACCGATGAGTGGCAAGCAGGAATCAAGAAATTTATTGATACTATTTTTGAAGGCACCTATGCATCAGAAACTGCACCGTGTCCATGTTCAAGGTGTCGTGGAGTTGTGTACAAAACAAAATCCGAGGTTCCAATGGACTTGCTAACTAAAGGGTTTGATGAGAACTTTGTCAAAGAGAAAGGTAACGCTGGCATATTTTTTAATGATGATAGGGATCTAAATGTAGGCCCACCAGATGATGCATCATCCGCCAACAATCTGTTGTCCGCATTAATTAGGGGTGCGACCAGTGGCAATACCAATGAAGAGCCTTGTGAGAGTGCAAAGAAATTCTTTGATTTGTTGAAAGATGCGCAACAAGAGTTGTGGCCAGGCTCACAGCTTACCAAGGTATCATTCTTGGTCGAGCTCTTTCAGCTTAAGTGAATGGGTGGATGGAGTAAGGAGAACGCAGAGCAAACACTTAGCCTATGGAGAGATACGCTCCCCCTAGGACATTGTATCCCAGACACTATCAAGAAAGCACAGAAGATTATCCGCGACCATGGCCTCACATACATTAAGATTGATGCTTGTGTGAATGACTACGTGTTATTTCATGGGCCGTTGGCTGATATGGACACGTGTCCAACATGTGGTGAGAGTAGGTGGAAGAAAGATGACACAAATTCTGATGAGATTGGCGAGTCTAGCGAAAGTGGAGCAAAGAAGCGCACTCCTTGCAAAGTTCTAAGGTATTTTGCACTTACTCCTCGATTGCAAAGATTATATATGTCAAAGGAAACATCATCATTGATGCGGTGGCACAAGGAAGAATTGGTTAGTGATGGGAACATGCAGCATCCAGCAGACTCATTGGCGTGGAAGCACGTGAATGACAGGTATAAGTGGTTTGATTCTGATCCACGTAATGTTAGACTGGGACTTGCATCTGATGGCTTCAATCCGTTTGGGATGTTGAATGTTAATTACACTTGTTGGCCCGTGATACTGATTCCTTATAACCTGCCTCCTTGGCTGTGTTTGAAACAACCTTATTGGATGATGTCGATGTTGATACCTGGGCCTAAATCTCCTGGAATGAACATTGATGTATATTTGCAACCTCTGATCGATGAGCTACATGATCTATGGGTTAATGGAGTTTTAACATGGGATGAGAAGGAGAAGAAGAATTTTACTCTACATGCAATTCTGCTATGGACAATTAATGATTTCCCCGCATATGTGATGTTATCTGGTTGGAGCACAAAAGGTAAGTTTGCTTGTCCTTATTGTCACAAGCATACTGATTACTTGTGGTTAAAACATGGCTCAAAGCATTGCTACTTGGGACATCGCCGATTTCTGCCCATGAACCATAAGTGGCGAAGGAACAAGACGAGCTTCAATAACAAGGCTAAAACTAGGGAAGCTCCAGTGCCGCTCAGTGGTGACCAGGTGCTGCGGGACTATGAAAGTTTCCAGCAAGTGACTTTTGGAAAGGATACAAGGAAAAGGTAGCAACGTGATGAAGAAAATAGGTGGCACAACTAGAGGAAGAAGAGTATTTTCTTTCAGCTTCCTTACTGGAAATCATTGCTAGTACGACATAATTTGGATGTCATGCATATAGAGAAGAACATATGTGAGAGCTTACTAAGGACTTTGTTGGAGTTACAAGGTAAATGCAAGGACAGTGAGAAGGCTCGACTTGATATGCAACATTTGGGTATAAGGCCAGATCAACATCTAGTGCTCGAAAAGGGTAAGTACACCTTGCCACCAGCGTTGTACTCTCTAGGTAAGGATGACAAGGAAATTCTGTGCAAATTTTTACATGGCGTCAAGTTCCCTGATGGTTATGCCACAAATATTCGGAGATGTGTGGACGTCAATGGTTGCAAGCTTTCTGGACTTAAAACTCATGACCTACACGTAATCTTGCAAAAACTTTTGCCTTTAGTGGTGCGCAACATATTGCCTGAAGATGTGGTGATCCCATTGATGGAGCTAAGTAGGTTCTTTAACTCACTGTGTTCAAAGGAGTTGGAGTTTTCAGAAATTGAAAAACTGAGCACTTCGATTAGGGAGACCCTTTGTCGGCTGGAGATGATTTTTCCATTGGCTTTTTTTGATATTATGATGCACTTACCAGTTCATCTTGCTGACGAAGCTAGACTTGGAGGCCCGGTTTGTTATAGATGGATGTATCAAGTTGAGAGGTACCTTCGTACTCTTAAAGGCTATGTGAAGAACAAAGCGCGCCCTGAAGGTTCAATTGCAGAGGGGTATATATCTGAGGAGTGCCTCACATTTTCCTCTCGTTTTTTTGAAAATATTAGTACCAAGCTTAATCGTCCAGAGCGTCATGAAAGCGCCGCTGCTAGTGAACCACCATCTAGGCTAATTATATTTGGGAGCCTTGACTACAGTAGGAAAGGAAGTACTCTCGAGAAAGTTTCTGATATTGAAATGCATAGGATGAGGCATTACATATTAACCAACTGTGACGAGGTCACTCCATGGATAAAGTAAGCAATATTTTAAATTGTTTTTTTATGGTGGTCATGAATGTTTAAAATATATATGTAACTAATGAACGTATTTTCAATTGTTGTGGATAGTGAGCATATGGACGAGCTGAAGAAAATTAGCTCAAGGCATGTTGATAAAAGACACAAGGAGGAGTTTGTATCATGGTTTGAGCGTAAAGTGAGTCGTCCCTAATATATTTATCCATATTTTATTTCTATAGTTTCCACATGATTCTTGTAAATTTATTAGTCCGTAATAATAGCTAGCCACTTTGTCGGTTTATTAGTCCCTAATATATTTTTAAAATGATTAAATGCAAATCAGCACATTGCGTGCACAAGGGGAAATAGATGACATGATTTATTATCTATCTCGCGGTCCAGACCCTCGGGCTCGTGTGTTCAACAGGTGTTTCATAAATGGCTTCCTTTTTCGGGTCTCTTCCATAGAGAACTGCTTAACTACTCAAAATAGTGGTGTATTCGTGAAGGGCGATGCAAATACAGGGAACATGGGCTGGTATGGTGTGCTGAAGAAAATCATTTGCCTTGATTTTCATGGTGACAAGGAAGTCATGTTGTTCCACTGTGTATGGTTTGATGTCCCTGCAGCTAGTAGTAGCAGATCGAGAGGGTACAATAAGGATAAATATGGGGTCATCGATATTGATATCACATGGTTTAGGTATTCAGATGAACCTTACATCCTGAGCACACAAGCCGAGCAAGTCTTTTATGCGAGAAACATAAAGAAACCAGATTGGTGCACTGTCCTTAGAGTGCAGCCTAGAAATCTCTTTGCCATGCCTGAAGCAGAAGGCATTGACAATATGGGCGAGCTCGATCTGGACTCAGTTGTTGTAGGAATGGAAGGTATGAATGTTCAACAACAAAATGAAGATGTCACAGCTTGGAATAGGTCTGGCCTTGATGGGGCTACTGTTGATGCTTCTGTTATTGAGCATGCTATTGCAACAACCATGCCTGAACCTGAGCACGATGACCTGTTTGATGAAGACGAAGACCCAGATGACACTTACATTAATGACGGAGTCATCCCTCCATTTAGTACTCTGGGAGAAGATTCTGATGATGATTTTTTTGTCTAAATTTTTCTCAAGCAATAGAGGCATTGGGCTCCTGTTTGTTCTTGCTGCTCGCTGTTTGTGTGTTCTTGCTGCTCGCTGTTTGTGTGTTTATCATTTTGCAACGCCACTGGATGTGTAACAGTTGCAAATGGTTTTAGGTTTGCTGCTGCAGCGGCTTTACCTGAAGGTGTTACAGAGTTCATTTCATTCATAATGTGCAAGAGTTGCTTTGAAGCATGAGTTGTGCTTTGAAGCAATGTGACCAAGGGAACTACTGCAGAACTGTACTTGTTGAGAGTAACAAGACGAAGATACACTAGAGAAAGGATCTCTGAAATTACATAAGGATGGAGACAATGGAAGACTCGACAGTATCACATTCAACTGCAGAAAATGCAACTTTACCGCAGCATAATTCTGCAGCTTCTTATGCCTAAACCCACTAAAATTGAACAATCATTCAACTGTTCTCAGTATCCTTCAACTGGATGGCCTGAACCTCAGCTTTCGGGGTTGTCCCACTGTTCTCAGTATCCTTCAACTGGACGGCCTTAGAAAATGCATCTGATATATCGGCCACGGGACCTTGAGCCTTGGTATCCAGCAGCTTCTGAGGATCGGTGCTGGCAGGCTGCTGTTGATGTCTGTTCTCCTGCAAGGCTTTCTCCCGCTACTCATAGAAGTTGAAATCTTCCAGGATTGTTGTCTCAGCCTCATGGCTCTTGAAGATTGTAAGCATCTGGAGGCCCTGTTCCAGCTTGACCTGTATGTTAAGAGTTGGTGAATTTATTCAGAAATGCCAATCCACATGAGTATTTGTATATCTAAATATTCAAACAAAACTATGACAAAACCATAAAAATCGACAAAACTCATGTGCAGAGGTTGGAGTTTTGCAAACATTCCAACACCTTAGCTGTTAAAAAAACTCAAATTCCGATACCGGGATGTCAAGAATCCTACGCTTAATTCTCAATTCCTGTCATTCTAGTCCCCAAAGCAGGCCGCACGAACCAATGAACCAAATACCTAGGGTTCTAGCGACAGAAGGCCGGCTGCGGGGGGGGGTGACGTTACCTTGCGCTTGAGGTTGTAGCGGTGCCATTCGGAGCGGTAGTGGAGCCGCTGCTGCTCCTCGTCGTAGAACCCCGCGTTGCAGGTGACCGTCGGCATCCTCGCTCAGCTCCCTCCTCTCCGCTCGCTACGGATTCGGCTTGCTCCGGCGGGCACGGGTGGGGAGGACTCTCTCTTCTCTCCTTCTCCTTCCGGTGCCGCTTCACCTTGTATGCGGCGACGCCTCGGTGGTGAAGAGTTGGGGGAAAGTGGCGGCGGGGCGGGGAAGAAGGGGGAGGGAGGAGGAGAAGTAGGAGAGGGCGAGGCGGCCGCCATTTGTTCCACTTCTGAGCCAGCCCGTTAACAAAGTGTTTTGATTGTTCCACTTCTGTTGCCAAAGCTTTGTTCTTTAGTGCCACCTCGCCAATTCGGAGATGCAAAACTCAGCTTAAAAGCTGAAGCCACCAAACCACACTGAACTTCTCATATCAAGCGCTATTCCGAAATTGTTACCCTTCTGGGCTAGTTGAGGCCGGTAGCTTTGCTAGGCTCCCCATAGGGGTTGAGCTTGGCGTGGCCGCTGGTCCTTGGATGGCCCACTGAAGTACCAACTTTTTTGTTTTCTAATTCTATGCTAATCGTTCCAACTTAATTTTTTTTTAAACATATTTCTATCGTGTCCAGCTAGTAACTAAATATCATATTCCATTTTTTTCCTAATTCTATTATAATCATTCCTACTGACTTTATTTAAAAAAAACATATTTCTATCATGTCCAACTAGTAAATAAGTATCAAACTCATTTTTCTAATTCTATGCTAATCATTGCAACTGAATTTATTTTTTTTAAACATATTTGTATCCTGTCCAACTAGTAACTACGAATCATATTCCGTTTAGTGGCATATCGTTTTGCCTGTCTTCCTATGTCAGTGATGCCATACCGAGCGTGCCACGTCACCTAGATATGTGATATGCTCCTTTCGAGTGCTGTCTTATGCCATCGAGTGCCTAGCTCATCGTCTCCAACTAGTCACAATTTGTCCCATTTCATTCCATGTCTAACATTGTTGTGGTGTAGTACTCAGTGTGCCATGTCGACTAGATATGTGTTCTGGACCTTTCAAGTTCTATGTCTTATGCCATTGAGTGCCTACCTCATCGTGTCCAACGAGTGCCACATCTTTGACTATGTTAGGTAGATGTTGTGTCATATGTAGCTAGGATGCCACGTCAAACAACAACTTGATATGTAGTCTCATCCTTTCGAGTGCCATGTCATATGCTACCAAGTGCGATGTCGTATGCCACCGAGTGCCTCATCATGATCATAGGGGCACGTCATTGCCTATGTCTCATCCATTGAGTGGCACGTCATTGCCTACTTCTAGTCCTACTACTACTTCTGCAGTGGTGTTGGTACCCACGGCGAAACCTTATAGGGGGTGTAAAACAGGCTTGGAGGACTTTGTAATGGGCTTGTAGTGTGACCCCGCGAAGCAAAGTCTGGACAAAAAGCTTGTTGAGTTGCTTAGTGGCTTCTTACAAAAATGCTCTGATTATATTCGTTTTTCTTTCAAAATCAAATTTAGCTAATTTTGAATGATTTTTTAATTTTGACTCGGCTCGTTAAGCTTGCTATGACATTGCATCGCAAACAAATCCATAGACTATAATAAATAATAATCTTCTCATGCCAATGTGAGTGTACTCGTACATGTGCTTGTACCGGTTCATGATTGTATTTTTTGCATTTGGTAATTTCAAAGAGACATTCTTGTCTGGTTCTATTTTTTCTGCTAAGTTTGCATAACTAGAAAAGAGCAAGTAAATTTAGCATTAAATAAAAAGAACAACTGATATAATCATATAACACCAAAGCGTCATTTTTTCAATTTCTTGAGGCATGTCTTGTAAGCCCTCTTGTGTGTGAGCATGCCTCCTTTTGTTTAGCATACCAAAAAATTCGCTCCTCTCCCTTTGTATCTCCTCCTCGCATGAGGTCGAAAATCTCCACAAAATCTTCAACTGTCGCGCCTAAAACTTTTTGCTTTCCGCCCAATCTCCACGAGCCAAATCCATGGCGGTGGCCTATTGCCGCCCCTCTGGCCTCTCGACTCCCTCCCCACGCCTCCTGCTGCGCGGCCCCTCTGCAGCGCCTCGCCTTGCCATTTCGTGGCGTCCTGCACGCCCGGCCCCTCCACGACGGACCTCTTGAACCTCCACGAAGGAAAGCATCAAGTCTGCGGACGACTGACACCAAGCATTTGCAGAGAAGCCATCCCCGATCCAAGTAAGACCCTTCCCCATTAACATACCCTCCTCCTTCCCCGTCTCCCATCGCCTTCACGAGTTGCCAGATCCTCCCCTTCACGTCGACCCCTCCCTCTCCCATCGGCCCGGTCTCTGAGTGAGAAATCAACCAAGCCGATTGTGGCCACTTGTTGTTTCTTGATTTATCGATCTCTTTTTCACAGGGCGTGCTGAGCGGCGGCTCTGAGATCGCGATCTGTCTCCCGTCTCCAGTCTCTAGACCGCGCATATCCCTCCCCCTCCCCCAATTAGATCGCGATCCGTCTCCCAGGACCGCGTGAGGGCCATGACACCGCCGCCTACGCCACCTCGGTCCAGGACGCCCCCGACATCGCCTCCGTTGAGGATACCATTGGCAACGCCTTCAGGCGGGGCAGGCGCCGTTAAGTAGGGCATCGGCGCCGTGACAGACTCCACCGCCTTGGGTACCCATCGCCATCGATATACTGAGGCCACCCTCAAAGTAGAAGATGATCTTGGGTTCTCTTCTCCATATGTCCCCAGGTACAATGATTACTTAATCTAGGTTTTTTTATTCATATTTAATCTCGCATCATAGCAAATTCTACAAATTGTGAGGGGTTTAGGGTTTTCAAGCATTTGCTGCTTGCATATTTTGGTCATGATAAAAAAAGATGTTTAAGAAAAGGCAATTACTTGCTCGGTATTTGTTTTGCTTGTCTGAAATTACAGAAAGTAAACCCGTCTGTTTCGATTCAGGAATACAAAGTCTGAGATCGTTTTCTATGCTTAAATATCAATGTTTAACTACACAAAAATGTATGGATGTAGTTAACCTTTTTCTGCATCAGCCATTGAATTTCTCATGTTGCATGTGCCTGCTCTATAATGGGATTACAGAAACCATCTAAAATAGAATCCTGAATTCAATGATATTTAGTTCAATTACTTATATATATGTAATACTTTACCTTTTTTATTCTTGTTTATTTATCAACCATTGTCCTATTTATGCAGTGGCACGGGCGAAATGTGGACTCTTTATGTTCATTGCAAGAATGGACTTCCAGATCAGGATTATGTAATGTTCAAATTGGAAAGGCCTCATATAAAATTGTCAACCTTGACATCTCTTAAGGACTGGCTTGGGTATAATGCCCGGGACTTCTTGTACTACAAGAAGCATTGTGGAAGAGATGTTGCAAGTCTTCAGCCCCTCGATTTTGTCAGACATGCAGAGATTATGCTACAAGACAATGAGAGTGAGAAGGAAATCAGATTAGTACTCTCAAAGGAACAAGAGACAGCACAACAAGTCAGCATAACACCCCTCAAGCGACCAAGGCAGCAGCTGGAAGAAGATGAGCATCCGTTTATGGATGATTCTTTTGATGCATACAAGGACTGACTAAAGAAGCTACGACCGGAACAATCCAAAAGTATATCATCCATGTTTTTGCATATGTTTTCGTATTAAGCAAAATCTTAGCACCTTTATATAAACTACACCTCATCTTACATTTTTTTGGTGACTAACAGATTTGAAGGATGACACTAGGCAACAAGCAGTCAACACGTACAAGGAATTTTTAAGGATGAAAGGGGACATTCCAGAAATTAGTAATTTATTTTCCTTCTTCAACCAATGTTGTTTAGTACTAATTTTTTTAAAACTGAACCTTTAACCTTGTGTGCAGTGGCATTTGTCGAGCAACGTGACACCGATGCAATCGTAGACGAAGACGACGAAAGCAATGGAAGCAATGCGACACCACCCTCAAATAGGCCAAGCCATGCAAGGAAGGCAAGAGACGAGGGAAACGGTTTGTGATAATGCATGTACTTTTAATATTGGGTTCACATATCTTAATTGAGAACTACTACAGCTCAAGATTGTTATTGTCTTTTTTGCAAGGACATGGCTCCAATGAACGCAAGAAAAGAGGTCGTGGCACTATTAAAGGATTAACAGTAGGCAACAAGAGAGTTAAGGAACGCATTCACACACTCCCAATCGAATTTTCATAAAGCCGTGGAGGACCCATTGGACCGAATACCCGTGCATTTGTCGATGAGGTCGTTTTATTTACAAGGCAATGGGCCCCACTAATTGGAGTAAACAGTTGGAAGGATATAAAGGAAGAAGTCAAACTAGAAATTGCAGAAGAGATACTGGTATGATGTCTACTATTTTTTGTTAAGGAACATTGCTGTTGCTCTTTTACTGTCCAAAAAAGTGAGTACATTACTAAGCAAATTTGCGAATAGAGAACATGTAGCTAAAAATCAGTTAGAAAATGTCATACGCCCTCAGCCCTCAGTTAGAGAAGAGGTTCTGGAAAATCTTTGGATTCACATGCCTCTCCTCTGGTTAATTTAGATGCCAAATCAGCTTAATACTCCAGAAACAGTAACATGCATGTCTTAAAAACATCTATTTTTTAGTATGGACCAGACATTAAAATTGGATTCCAGAAAGATCAATGTTAGAACCCACTCCGTTGTGGAATCAGCTTAATACTCCATTTGACAATATTTGTCCACACCACCTAATATTTGTCCACACTCTTGATTAGGTCCAGTGAACACAGTTCTCAATATACAAAAATATAGTCGACACAGTTCTCAATACACAAAAATATGCATGTTGGAGACTAAATGCTACAGATTTTGCCTTAAATGCATAACACAGTTCTCAACGCAGTTCTTAATTTTGATTTGAAAGAATCATGACCCAATATTGTGTGCAATGAACTGTAAAGTACGCCTTGCCTTGTGTACTCAATCGTAGCACACATTCTTTCTAGTAAACCAGATGGATCAAGAATTACTCTCAGTGCCAGTG